ATCACATATCTGGTAACACTTATATCCAGAATGTATTAAAAACTCTTTCAGCATAATAATAAGACTAAGTCAAATGATTTTCGATAAGTGTGAATACCATTCATCAGGAAAAAAGATGGTCCTTTCAACAAATGGTGCTGGAAAACTGGATGTTCACATACAAAAGAAATGAAATTCGACTTTTTTCTTACACTGTATGCAAAAATTAACTCCAAGTGGATTGAAGAACTAAACATAAGACCTAAAACTATAGGAACTTCCCTGGTGGCACAGTGGTTAAGAATCCGCCTGCTGGGCTTCCCTGGTGATACAGTGGTTGAGAGTCCTCCTGCCAATGCAGGGGACACAGGTTCGTGCCCCGGTCTGGGAAGATCCCCCATGCCGGCAGTGGCTGGGCCTGTGAGCCATGGCTGCTGAGCCTGCGCGTCTGAAGCCTGTGCTCCACAAGGGGAGAGGCCACAACAGTGAGAGGCCCGTGTACCACAAAAAAAACAAGAATCCACCTGCCAATGCAGGGGACACAGGTTTGAGCCCAGGTCTGGGAAGATCCCACATGCCATGACGCAACTAAGCCCACAAGCTACAACTACAGAGCCCGTGTGCCGCAGCTACTGGAGCCCATGTGCCTAGAGCCCGTGCTCCGCAATAAGAGAAGCCACTGCAATGAGAAGCCTGCACACCACAACAAAGAGTAGCCTTCGCTCACTGCAACTGGAGAAAACCCACTCACAGCAACGAAGACCCAGCACAGCCAAAAATAAATAAATAAATAAATAAAATTAGGAAAAAACATAGGGGAAAAGCTCCGTGACATTGGATTCGGCAGTGATTTCTTGGATGAGACACCAAAAGTACAGGTAACAGAAAAAAATAGATAAATTGGACTTCATCAAAAATAAAACTATTAATAGATTGAAAAGACAATACATTGAATGGGAGAAAATATTTGCAAATCATATATCTGATAAGGGGTTGATACCCAGAGCGTATAAAGAACTCCTACAACTCAGCAACAGAGAAAACCCCAAACAGCTAGTTCGAAAATGGGCAAAGTACTTAAATAGATTTTCTCCAAAGATGATACTCAAATGGCAATAAAACACATGAAAAAATGCTGAACATCACTAATCATTATGGAAATACAAATCAAAGCCACAATGAGATATCACTTTATACCCAGTAGGATGGCTACTGACATAAAAACAGAAAATAACAAGTGTTGGTTAGGATGTGAGGGAATTGGATCCCTTCTGCATTGCTGATGGAAATATAAAATTGTGCAGCCTCTGTTGAAAATAAATGGTTTGGTGTGGTGATTTCTTAAAGAATTAAACAAAATTACCATATGATCCAGCAATTGTATTTCTGGGTATATACCCAAAAGAAGTGAAAGCAGGGATTCAAACAGATGTTTGTATACCCATGTTCTTAGCAGCATTACTCACAGTAGCCAAAAGGTAGAAATCAACAGATGAATGGATAAACATAATGTGGCATATACATACAGTGTAACATTATTTAGCTTTAAAAAAGAAGGAAATTTTGACACATTCTACAACAAGAGGAACTACAGCATGGGTAAATCTTAGGACATTATACTAAGTGAAATAAGCCAGTCACAAAAGGACAAATATTGTATGATTCCTCTTATACAGCATTCCTAGAGTAGTCAGATTCGTAGAGATAGAAAGTAGAATGGTGGTTGACAGGACCTGGGAAAAGGGAGAGTGTAGGGAGTTAATGTTTAATGGGTAGAGTTTCAGTTGGGGAGGATGAAAAAGGTTTGAAGGTAGATAGGTAGTGATGACTGCACAACCATGTGAATACACTTAATGCAACAGGCTGTACAATTTAAAAATGGCAAATTTTTTTATGACTGTTTTACCACAAATTTAAAAAGAAAACTACAATTTAAAAATGGACTAAAGAGTTGAATAGGCATTTTACCAAAGAGTATATATATTCTTAGGGTAAGAAGCCTGAGAAAAGATTCTCATTATCATTAGTCATTCAGGAATGAGATACCACTGCACACCCAACTAGGATAGCTATAATCACAAAGACAGACAACACCAAGTGTTGACAAGAATGTAGGAAACTTGAATCCTTGTGTATTGCTGGTGGAATTGTAAAATGGTATAGCCACTTTGGAAAAGTTGGCAGTTCTTAAGGTGTTAGACATAAACTTATGATATGACTCAGCATTTTCACTCCTAGGTAACTACTCCAGAGAAATATAAACATATGTTCACACAAAAACTTGTACACCAGTGTTCCTTCTAGTATTATTAATCATGGTAGAAATAACCCAAGTATTTATTAATTGGTGATTGGCAAAACAAAGTGTCGTGTATATACATAGAGTGAAATGTTATTCAGCAATAAGTGGAGTGAACTACTGATACATTCTCCAGTGTGGGTGAGCCTCAATATATTATGCTAAAAGTGAGAGAAACTAGACACAAAAGACTACCAATTCTATGATATGCAATTTGTAGAAGAGACAAATTTCTGGACACAGAAACCAAATCATTGGTTGTCAGCTGGGAGTGTAAGTGTGGATGGACTGCAAATGGGCACAAGGGAGCTTTTTGGAGGTAATGGAAATATTCTAAAACTGACCTGTGATGGTTGCACAGCTGAATTAACTTACTAAAAATTATTGAACTTAAAAAAAGTTAATGAGAGATAGTGGAAGGTATGTCTAAGGTTATCTGGGAAAGTCAGAGAAAGCATCACCCAGAAAGCACTGGCTTGAGTGGAGAGTTAAAAAAAAAAAAAAACAGTTTAGGAAACAGTGAATAGCATCTATAAAGACTGTTGTGAACCAGTGTGAAAGAGAACATGATTCGTTCAGGGAATTATATGAGGTTTGTCTTGTTGCAGTATGAAGTTTGAGGCTGGGAATGTCAGAAGATAGGAGTGAATTTAAAGAAAAACAAGCTGTTGGTAATAATCAGGAAGGCTGATATCAGGGGGATTATTGTAGACTTACTCTTGGTATGCTTTTACATTTACCAGGTTCAACACAATGTTGAAAAATGATCAGAAGGAGGAATATTTAAAACTGAAATTAAATGTTTTACTACCCTTAAACAAAATCCTGTGGTACTTCTAGGGTATTGTGTTCTGTTTATTTTTCAAGACCCAGTTAATGTTAGCATTTTCTGCTATATCCTATCTAATGCCTCTTCACCCATGCCCCTTGCAGGGTCTCCTCTGTTTCACTACCTCTGTTATAACACTTCTGGCATGGTATCATAATGCTTTCTTATGAGACTGAAGAGACTTGACAGCAGGAAGTAAGCCTGTTTTCTTCAAGTTTTTAACTGCAGTGTTTGGCATGATATTTGACACATGATGGTTGTTCATTGGTAAATTTGCTTGCCAGAACTTTCAAGGGAAGGCCAGCAAAGTATAGATCGAAGAATTGGAGGGGTTTTTACATGAAGGTAGTCTTCAAAGAAAATATCGGAAGGTCACAAGGTGAAATTTTATGTAAACTCTTTAAGGATTTGGCTTTGGGTTGACGTAAATAATTTCCCATCTAAATATTGAATTCTGATGGCTACTTTTCATTGTCTCTTCTCTGTCTTAGGATTTTAGAGTTAGAAAAGACCTTTAGAGCTTATATAATCTAGTCTTCTCTATTTATTCACTTTGTGACCTCAAGCCAGTTACTTAAACCTTTCCAAGCCTAGGTTTTTTTCATCTGTAAAATGAGGGACTCCCTATGTACCTACCTCATTGTTACAAAGATTAAAATAATATTTAAGTAATTATTCATTTCACAGTCTGCAATTCAGTAAGTGGCTAGACATAACAAACTGAATGGACTGTTCAAAGTTTACCAGAAATAAGTACCTATATTTGGGCTAGAATCTGATGTTTTAAATTTTAATCCAGTATTTCCATACTGTCATGGTTGGTACTTCTTTCCATATTAGTGACCTTTTCCCTTTTTTTATTTGCAGTTTCCAATTTGATGTGGGCTGGGTAACAAAGTCACAAGCTTTATTCATTCAGTATATGCTTATTAAGCATTGCTAGATACCAGGCATGGTGGTAGGTATAGGAAAACAGATGAGTTGTGTTCTCAGGGAGTTCAGTATCTTGAAGTAGGAAACAGACCTTCCAGGAAAACATATGAATTAAATAAAGTGTATCGACAAATGTGGATGATGTAAAGAGGATTTAAACAGCATATCTTGCAAGGGGGACATCTGGGGTCAAAGTCTTTATAGAGCAGGTGAACAAAGGAGAGGTGGCAATCACTGGGAGGAGTTGAGGGATATGAGCGTGACTGGCTTAATTTTGCTTGGGAGTTTTGCATGGAAGGTGGTGTCATTGTGGAGCATTCTTTGGTGAGATCGAAGGTATAGTTTTTTCTGCAATGAAATCAGGATTCCAGAGGATACAGTGGAATAGACTTAGTAGG